AAAATAATCACATATCGGAAATGGCATGTCACTGAAAGATGGTTAAACACATCGAGTAAAAACTAGGTGAAACTAGACTCTTCGTTCAGATTTCAGCTCTACTGTTTAATAGCTGTTACACTGAGAAATTTGCCAAACTTTCCAGTTCGTTTCCTCATCTATAAAAATGAAGATAATAATAGTACTTAAAGGATTGGCTTGAGTTCATTTTCAACATCATACAATAGATATTAATAATGATTATAAGTTGTTTTTATGCCTAGGACCAACATCCACACATTTGATTTTCAAAATATTGCTTGTATGCAGGTGCAGTATCCATCAGGGGACTTTTAAGTTCAGGTAAACATGGGGACTTACAGAAATGTCTCGGGCTACACTTGGTACCAGTTTATGGAAATGGCTATGTAATGGGAAATATTTCTTTCCGACTATCACAGGGTTTCCTCTCAGCAAGAGTCTCAGCAGAAATAATTAGCATGGTAGTTCACATAAACTTTGGGAAGCTACTCTTTTTCCAGGTTACAGGCCAAGTGTAAGGATATGAAGTCCTCATCAATAGAAGTGTGATTCATTTAAGCCTAGATTTTTTTATTTTTTTGGTACTGAGAATTGAACTTAGGGCTTCATGCTTGCCAGTCAGGCACTGTCCTTCTTCCTGGCCCTAGCCTCGAATTTTAACACAAAGTACATATCTGAGAAAGGATTTGCATCTGCTGTATGAGGAGTTGGAGTAGTACTGTCTGAATAGAAGATATTCCATTTTGCTACAATGTAAGTGAAAATGATCAACTGCTCACAAGAAATATAATGATTATGTAATATAAACATGTAATGATAAAAAACCCTGGAAAAATAAATGGAAAACAATAAAATTACAAGAAAGGATATCTATCATGTTTTTCCTCTTGTCTGTCAGTTATTACACAAGAATTTCTCAAGGGCTTTCTAGCTGAAATTTCCATTTAACATGATTTTCAAGGACTTACATAGCAAATAATGTTGTGAATATCCAGATATTCTCTATATACTAGTTACATGGACAAAAGTTAACATATTATATAATTATGCCTCTTTTTTCTATAGTAAAATACTATTCATATGTTTTTAAGCAGGGAAAGTCTTCTACCTGAAGACATTTTAAGAACTGGTTAAATTTGTGCTGTGGTTTAATTGAAACCATGTAGAACATATTACAGTGCACAGAAGAGATATTATAATCAATTTAAGATTCATATGAGATAATAATATTAAGACTCTACTTAGATGAGGATTATTTTGATGGTCTGCAAAATATATCTTGCAATTAGAATGAATTAATTTATTAAGCATAATCATTTATCATTCATCTAAATACTAAAATCAGATATGGAGGGGGAGGGGAAAAAAGAGGCCAATTTAAATTTGGACATAAAATCATTGGATCATTTATGTGACACTAACAGATTAGTAGACTCAATTGTTTTGAAACCACACCAGTGCTATGGGTATAAGCATAAATTGCCAACATCAGGCCATCTTTCTTATTAATGTGGTAGACCACAGACATTGATTTAACCTAAAGAAGTCTTTAATTTGGCTCGTTACCTTTGAAACGATTTAAAAATTTGCCCCTATCTTGAGAAGGATGAGAAGGAAACTGCTTTTATGTGTGTGCATACAAATTCGTATAACTGTAAGTATGAAGGAATTAGAAGGCATTATTGTTTCTTATTGATACCTTAATCAAAACTACTTCCTCTAGATCAGAGGGTAGGATTACCAGATGCTAGGCAAAATTCTCTCTTGTATAGTAAACATTTGAAGTCATATTTTCTGAAAGTAATTTATAGTTAATGAATGTGATTTGCAATACTTCAATTGTTTTGAAACCACACCAGTGCTATGGGTATAAGCATAAATTGCCAACATCAGGCCATCTTTCTTATTAATGTGGTAGACCACAGACATTGATTTAACCTAAAGAAGTCTTTAATTTGGCTCATTACCTTTGAAACGATTTAAAAATTTGCCCCTATCTTGAGAAGGATGAGAAGGGAACTGCTTTTATGTGTGTGCATACAAATTCGTATAACTGTAAGTATGAAGGAATTAGAAGGCATTATTGTTTCTTATTGATACCTTAATCAAAACTACTTCCTCTAGATCAGAGGGTAGGATTATCAGATGCTAGGCAAAATTCTCTCTTGTACAGTAAACATTTGAAGTCATATTTTCTGAAAAGAATTTATAGTTAATGAATGTGATTTGCAATATAAATTTTATAGACCTGTGTTTTACATTTTGCTTGATTTGTTCTAACAGGTTTGGAATAAATAATATTCTTATCTTGCAAAGTTACATTTGTGAAACAGAAAATTTTATTTAACAAGTTCAATACAGACCCAAAAGTAATACATTATCTTACTCAAATTCACATTTATCTTTAAACAAAGAACTATTGAATCCTTGCCATCAGGAATTTTTCATGAACATATACCTGGATTAAAGAAAATTAGTGTTATTTTTTGCAAACATTAAATTATGCATAGATATTCTCTACAAATAAGCCACAGACACTGCTTTGGAATTGAATAAAATTTCCTTTCATTAGCTAGACTTGTTTTTGCCTATTGCTTGTGTAACCTATTATTTGCCTAAAAACTGAGAATTATATGTATTATCTGATCACGTACAGCTTTTAACCCTCAAAGATATAAAATGTCTTACAAGCTTTCTTCATAAAATAATGCTATTCTTTGAGCAATTGTCCTAATCTGTCTGCAGAACTAGTCTTCATGTTCTCCTAGAGGGATAATTTGTCCTGTGGTTTTTCTGAGTCATGTGGAGAAGAACATTTTACTACGGCCATTTAGCATTTTAGAATCAAACGATTTGTCAGAGGGCAGCATAAGGCATCACAGGTAGCAGGTAGGGATTGCTGATTAAGTGAGGGAATAAGATGAGCCATTTTCTTACATTTCTAGATGTGTCTGAACTTCAACATCCTCCCTGACTGCTGTTCTACACATACCACTTACATGGGAAGATGAAAGAATGAATTAAATATAGTCCATACATGATAAGATCACACTATCAAAAGGAAAGAAAGAGAATGAAAGTTTTAGTGTGAAAAGGCCAAAGCTAATTTGTAAACTATTCAGTGACAGAAGGTCCCTAGGATCTGCTTTGGTAGAAGACTTTGTGATGGTACAGAGGCTCAGTAGAAATCAAATATTTCCATTTTTGAGAAATACCATTATCCAGGTATTCAAATGTCATTTCACTTTTTAGAAAATCTTGCTTCTTCCTATGGTGAGAGTGGAAACCAACTTCCAAATTTAACAGCTTCAAGAGGTTTATAATGACAATTCTTATTAACTAAAGAGCATTTTTAAGCTTGAAATCTGTCAGTAATTTGCTTAAGTAGATGTATTATTTTCAAAGTCTAGTATTTCTGAAGTTGTGTTTAGTAGATTTAGAAGCTCTATATGTTCTCCAAAGTACACTGATTACTTCATGAAATTCTTTTTTAGTAATTATGGAGCACTTGACATTCCTGCCATATTCACAGATTTTATATTTCTGGCTTCAATAAGTACAGATGTATATAGATGTGTAGTTGCCAAACACTACTGTCTTTCAAATTGCATATTTTTTGGTGTTACCTCTTCTAGGATTTCAGGCTTGGCATATAGTGGAGCTAATTAAATTTCCTTCCCAGGAAGCACCCAGCTAGAACGCTGCCTCAGGCACATAACCTCAGCTTACCACTTTCCTTTGCTCATTTATTCTGTATGTGAGATGAGACTCCTCAAATAGCAAAGGTGGACTACTCAGGCCAGGAAGCTGCTGAGAGATTTTGGCAAATGCAGAGTGGGTGTTTGAGTCTAACCCTGACAGTGTACATCGCAGAAGGAGTGACAGTGCAGTGTATCTTCCAGTATGAGCTGGCTGTGGATGACAATCTGCCAAACTATAATAATGGGAGAGGCATTGGTTGTATAAAAATGAATCAATCTGCCTTAGCTGTAAGGTCTTTTGCAATATTCTAGGAAGATCATTCCATTCTTGACCTATTTTTTTTGTGGGGGGGGATCCAGAAAAATTTAACAAACACAGAATTTGTTGGGACAGTTTTGTTCAGTAATTTCATTAGTGCAGCTTCCTCTTTAAGCAATTTGTTACACTTTATTAAAATGATTTAATAAGAACAAACTCTTTGGCACTTATTCTACTTAGCATGTCTTTCCTATCCAACCCCTGAAAAAACTAAGATCAAAATCTCCAAGTTTCCAAAGGGGAGATCTGAAATTTAAACTCAACTACATTTGACTATAAAGACATGGCTCTATGTCGGTCAACAGGTTTTTATGTTTATCTCCAGATTAACAGGAAGTGTTCTAAATTAAAAAGTTTAGGTGTGACTATTTAAGTGATAGCCACAAAGGAAAACAGTACACTTGAATATTTATACACATAAAGGTATGTACTACATATTCCATGAGAAGAACTTTCTGTTTTTCTGGTTAAAGTATATGTATATAATATTGATTTTATTGTAGATAGACCTATTTTACAGATAGGGCTCAACATTCCTCAAGAAATAGAGAAATACTTTTTTAAGCAGTGACCTTATGATATTAAGGTATTAAATGGTTTTGAATATTGAAGAATTTATATCGCTTCACTGAAAACCAAGAGAAAAAATTAATTCCTCCAAGATATTATGTTAGAATTACAATAGGGATCTATTTATTCATCAGATAAATGAATAAGTGATCAAAAATAATGCGATAGAATTTATTTATGCATGTGTATGTAAAATGAAGTTAACTTACTTATTTCTCAAGTAAAAGCAAAGTGACACTTTTCAGCTCCTTTGCACTTGTGAAGCAGGCATGGTGTCACTGAGCTAAATCCCTGGCCCCCACTTTTGAGCTTCCACAGTTTTAAATCTCTTTGAAGTCCTGATTGAATTCTTGAACAGTAGCTCTTTCTTTTTTTTTTCTTCCCTACAGTTGGACAGTGTCACCTCCCTGATCCAGGCGGCCAAAAATTTGATGAATGCTGTAGTGCAAACAGTGAAAATGTCTTACATTGCCTCAACCAAGATCATCCGAATCCAGAGTCTGGCTGGGCCACGGCACCCAGTAGTGATGTGGAGGATGAAAGCTCCAGCAAAAAAGCCCTTGATTAAAAGAGAGAAGCCAGAAGAAACTTGTGCAGCTGTGAGGCGTGGATCAACAAAGAAAAAAATCCATCCCGTGCAAGTTATGAGTGAATTTAGAGGAAGACAGAACTACTGAAAGCACTCTTCTGCTCTAGTGCCTCTATTACAAAATCCTGGCTAACCACACTGCTTTATTTCACACTTTACTAGTCCTGTAATTGCACTAAATTTCAGAGTTTAACTCATAAGTAACATAGAACATTAAAGGCTAAACCAGCATAAGCAATATATGTGAGATCATGTCTTTGTCATTTCTATATATAGCCAGCACATAGTAATTAATGAATGAAAACTTCATGTGTCATTCAGTCTGTGCTATCAAGGGAATGTCTTATATTCATTACAACACGAACATACAAGATGCCTGTGAGTCCTACTTATCTGTAATAGTGCAACTACATTCACTCCTTTCATTGTAAATTAAAACATTGACATAAGCTCTTGACTTGCTTTTCAATAAAAACATTTACTAAATATTTTCCCCTTTAATATACATAATTTCTTTACCCTACTTAACCTGGCAGAAATGCCTAATTCCTGCCATAGGAAAACAAGATGTGTTCTCTAGATATCTGTATCAATTGTCAAATTAGTTTAACTTCTATCAAGAACAAATCAGGGCAGTCGGTTTCTCACTAGATTTTGAAATTTAGCCTTTATTTTTAGGAAAATGCTTTAATACCATTACAAAGGACATGGTGTGCTTTGGTGGCACAACACATTTTAGGGTTTCATTGTTCTGGACTCTGCAGTATGAGGTCCATCGGACTACACTTGCTGAAGATGAAATAACCTTTGTTGGAGAAATGAGAAACAAAACTGTGTCCCAGATTCTGTTATAGAAACGGGATGTAAGAAGTTCTACATGACTCTAAAAATCTACTTCTATCCCTTATCAGTTGCAATTAAAAACAAAGGCCACTTTGAAAAAAATGTTTTGCCATCAAGGGAAATATGTCTGAATTGTATCACTGGGATAGACAGCAGAGTTTATGAGATTGAGGCTAGAAGCTACAGTCATTGATATTTTTGGTTTTTTCTGTTTTCTTTCCTGTTTTTATTTTTATTTTTGTTGGTGCATGTTTACAATACATAATGATTATGTTTGCTATGGGGTATTGACACATGTACATAAGACATCTTAAATCTTTAGTACAAGTCACTGGAGTCATTTTTATAAACCCGGTAACTACTCACCTATAGTTGAGTTCATAATGAATTTCATATTTATCTGAGAATGTAGTGCACTGTTTCTTTCTCACACTTTTCCTCTCCCTAACCCTGTTCTTGTCTTGTTGAGTTTGCTATAATCTCTTTCGAAGAGTTAAGTTACGATTTCACCTTATCTCACTGATAGGGTTTCTCTTTCTAGGACTTCTTATATGCATCCATCCCCTATTTTACTTTACTATAATAATGTCATTTTTGTAACTTCTCACTTGTAAAGCTTTATAATTAATGAGTCACTTCAACCACGTCACTTTAGATTGATGAAACAAAATTTATGCACACAACACCAGTTCATGATAGAGGACAAGTTTGGGTAAAAGGATGCATGAAAAATAGGAAAATGTAAGAGACTGAGAGTATGGTATATATGATATCTGGAGCAAGGTCATATGGGGAAAGATCTTTTTAATAGGTCATTATTAATTATGAGGGAAAAGTCCATTTCTTTTATCATAATGAATTTGTTTTCCTTTTCCTAATAGGCTTGATTCCTTGGCTCAGTAGATAGATGTCTTACGGATTGAAGGCAATTAAGTGCTCTCTGTCTTCCATATGTACTTTCCTACAATAATTATTAAAAGTCCACGCTCTAGAAGACAGGGTGACAGTGAAAAAGGGAACTAGGTGATTCAGATGATTCTGGTTCCCAGTATTGTCTAGAAATCTGAGGTAAGTAGGGAATTTGTTTTGTCGAAATGCTATCATCATTTTGTGCTTTACTAGCACAGTACCTGTGGCGCATTCTTCTTCCAAGTAGATGTGCTCGTTTATAGAATTTTCATTAAAAACTCAATAATTACTAGCTCTATATCTTAGCTCCTAAATCTACATGCAGGAGATGTATGAGTCTCATTTAGAAAACTGAATGTCCTTTTGACCCTATATAACCTTTCTATATGCCAGAATTTAGAATGCAGTACTATATGGCAAAAACAGAACTAATTTGAAATTGTACAGCTATCAAATAAATTTTAAATGTTTTAAAAAATGATTCTACCTAAATGAGATGTATGCAAGACCTTCTCTTTAGCATGATAAGATTTTACCTTAGCTCAAAGCAACTACCTATAATTAGACCAAAACAATAAAATTTTTAACTTGCCAAATATCCCTGGAGTAAATTTGCTGTAGCAATCAAAAATGCAATTAAAATAAGATGCATAAAGCTGAGAAAGACATCTGTCCACCTGAGTAAAATCCCACAGTGGACAGCATTGAAAGATTTAATTTGATTCAAACCTGCAATAATGCAAATGTTTACACAAGCTAAAAGCTAGCAATAAAGATATTTAGCAGATCTTTGTACAATAAAGTACCGTTAAGTAAATCTAGTGGTGGTGGCAGCACAAAAAAAGTGATCAATAAACATGAATGTATTGTATACATTTATATTGAAGCCTTTCCTCTTCAGAGGCACGCCCATAATTTTTTTTTCTTTTTTTTGGTACCGGGGATTGAACTCTGGTCCTTGTACTTGCAAGGCAGGTCACCGAACCACTGAGCTAAATCCCTGGCCACAATTTCTTAATAAGAGTGTTAATTCAGTGGCCTATTGTGCATTTTTTTGAAATCACATCATAGAGTCCATGCCTCTCTGAATGATTCATTTGCTTGGTCCTGCTATTCAGAACTCACCTTTCTCTGTTAGTAAAATCAGTTTATGTTCATTTTTATGGAAAAAATTACTTGAGAGGGAGGAGAGGTTTTATACCACCTAAGGACATTTCCTTTCTGCTTAGCACCCTCATCAGTGGCAAATGTTAGACTAAAATAAAAATAATTTGAAAATATTCCTGAAGTCATAATCTAGTAAAGTATTCTTTTAATCAAACATGAAATATGAAAGCTATAAATTTGTTTTACTTATTGCAAATCAGAATGATTAGATTAAAATATTTCTGCCTAACAGAGTTTCTAGACAGTTCTTAAATGAGTCAGAAAAAAACAAACCAGACATCAAGTTTCTAAGATAACTCGTTAATTGTGCCTTTCTGTTTGTCTTATATGAGTGCAACCTACAAATGTGTTAGAAAATGCAATATAGTCTTCATAATCGTAAGAGTGCCTGATGACCTTTGGAAATCTCTTAGGGGTCAATATAGGACATGTGCTCCCCTGTACAGGGGAGAAGGCCCGCCACAGCTACACAGAGAGGCCTGTTCTTGAAGTCTAGCATTACTGATGCACTTAGCCTTCTGAAGAAGGTCGATTTTCAAGTCCTATTGATAAAATTGTTAATATACAATTAAGTGCCCAACTGCACTGTCAATCCTAATGATTCTCCTCAAACTCAAAAATGAGTGGCTGCAGAAACTAATATGTGACAAGGGTCTCCCAAATGTTCATTTTCAGAGTAGTCTTCTTATCTAGCTCCCTCCTGAGCTATGTTTCCTTTTATTAACCACCGAAAGCTACCAGAATGATGTGAGCAGGCCTGCCTATCTCAGAAATTCACCCATTAATGCTCTTTCCACGTACCAAACAGCTCTCTCTCCTCTCCCTCAAATTCTTACATTTCTGTCCTACACATAAATTGACTAATACATTCTGTAGGGTTTTATTTTTTTTTTCAGTAGAATCATTCTTGTAGTTTTTCTAGTCCCAGAACCATTCTTATCCTTTTTGGTGTCAGATCTACATTTTTGTGCTAAGGATGGTAGTTCCCATGGATAAAGATTTCTGTATAGTGACAAAGTGTGTGGATTGAGAACTAAACCTTTTCCTGGTGATCTATTATTAAGTGAGCTCACTGCAGAATCATTAGCCTTTTCAGTGTTGTTATAAGTGATTTTCTAGGTTCACAGAACAGGAACCAGAATCTCAATTTGAATAAAATATATATACTTGCTTTGCCAAGACTAGCAGCATATTGTACATTTAGGAGTCAGATATCTATTTTGTGTTTGTAAAGACAAGAATACTCATTTTACTTTTCAAAAAGTTTGAGGACATCCAATTAAAAATAAAGTTTGCATATTTTTAATAATTCATTTTAAGTTAAACTGGGGAAAATTTCTCCAATCTGATATGTTCTATTTTTCATCCTATATATCACAGATCAGTAAATAACACTTATTCAGAGGAAAACCCTATCTCCTTGCAATTATGATTATGTTTAACTTTAGTACTTTGCACATTAGCTCCAAATAAGCAAATAAGAGCTACAGATTAAAGCATCATTACACATACATAGTAGTTTAAGAATTTTTCATTTTGGCCCTTTTGGTCAAATCAGGAAAAAAATAATATTTTAAAAAACTGAGTGGATTTAGCTGAATTTGTCTTAATCAATGCTATTAACATTATCCTAAATGTCTAAAGGAGTGAGAATGAATTAAAATTTTAAGTACCTTTATCATATTTACATGAATAAAACATATTTTCTGGTAAAGCCAAATAAAGATTTGTTTAAACATTGGCTATTTTACATGTAAATACCACCCACAATAGAGTGCATAAAATCCATCTTTGAACACTTCAAACAAGATAATAGATGCTAATTGAGAGAAAGGTCTCCAAAGGGACCCAAAGTGAATCAAAATCCCTGCCTTTCACTCTACATCTGTGAGGCTGGCCCTTGTGTACATCCTAGGGTCAGATGATTACGGCTGCAGTATGCATGATGGCACCCAGTAGTCCCAACTGGCCTAGTGGGGAAAACAGAAAGCGACTTTTAATTTGAGCTTGGCAAGTGGAATAAAAAAGGAGAAAAGGAAGAGGATTTCTAAATGAACAGGGATAAGAAAGTGTCAAACGTATCGGAGAGAAAGAGAAAGGTAGTTGCGGAAGAGGTAATTTAGAAGAGAGCAGAAGAGCTTTTTGGTGCTATGAAGATCAGATAGCCTCATTCTGAAGAAAGATTTAGTGCTAGGCTGGGACATTCATCCTGGCATGATGATGGTTTGCTAATGTCAGAAGCAAAAATGATAAACTGTATAAATATTGACAATGAATTAGTAATAAAATTTGCAACTTGAGCAACAGGAATTTAGCCATTCTTCTGGCAAATTCTGGGAGAATAAGAATAATTAAACGTTTATACATTCAACAACTATTTGTTGAGCAACTATAATGTTCCATGCCGTGTTCTAGGTTCTGGGGATCTACGAGATAGCAAAACAAATAAACTTTGTCCTCAGGTGCCACATCTGTGTTAAATGGTATTATCTTACTTGATACTCTCAATAAGAATGTGGGATACATGTAATTAGTTTCATTCCACAGCTAAGAAAACTGAAGCTTAACAAGGATAAAAATTCTCCTCAAATCTCACGGGCTTTAAATTATTACATCTCAGATTCTGAACTATTAGCTATCACACCATCCAGACTTCTTGGAAAAAGAGATTGAGTGTGTCAGTTGCTAAAGAGATATGCATTTAAAACCCTGGTTGATTTCCTATATAACAGCTAAATAAGTAAATAAAAGCTTTAAGAAAATGCATATCCATCCAACGTACATCATTCAAAGCTGATAAGCATTGTATGAATGATTTGCAGCATATTCTCACCTCTAAGAAGTGAATATAGCATTTCAGGCATGTGGGGAGTAAATATTTTCTGTGTGATCCTATAAAAGAAGACAGCCCTGGCAAACACATTTTTTTTTTATCACCATGTAGGAGACAACTTCAATGGCAAAGCCTATGTCAGCCCATTTTAAGTAGTGGTTGCCAAAAAACATTTGGTGACACCATTTCTTTCTTTTTCCTGCTAACATGAACCTGTATTCATTTAAAATTATGGATTCCAGGAAAGTGTTGGCCAAGGATTGGTAAGCCAAAGTTTCACTGTATTTCAGATTTACCCATACTATTACAAACATATATTTCCTTCTAGATGGAAGCC